ACATCTCAGAGCCAAATATTTGCACACTAGCTCCTCTCTCCCCACGCTCAGCAGACTAGAAACCACCAATGAAATAAGTCATCTCCTGTCACTACGATCCACACAGGATTGCACCATGTTTAGCGACGGACTCAAAGGTGGATCTCAGGAGACTTTGGTCTGTAAAGAACAAAGGTCCTTCTCCTTGCATTGGACCAGTCTCAACTTGCTGCCTGAAATGAAGAATAGTTCCATGGGTAATCAATCCTAAAGACCTGGAACCATGGAGAAGAAAGACGGTGGTTCTTCCAAATTTTTTGCACATCTGTCTGGTAAGAACTTGGGGATGAGACCTTGAAGATCCCACTAAGGTGTTGGAAAAGTCCAGTTTGCTAGATCTTGAACCTAACCAAAGCTATGCGCTACTCTTCAAAACATGGGTTGCGATATCTGGGTGACCATGGACTACTCTTCATGGATGTGCGAGGAGAACCACAGTAACATCCAACAAGAAGAGTTTGCTCATGTCCATTGAGATTTGTGATCTTCACAGGCTTTCGGTCTTGTCTTCTTTTGCGGCTAAGAGATTGTTTTGTGGATAACCATAACGTTGCCTTTCATTTTGTCAGGAATTCTGGGAGTAGCAAAATCGGGGAGGGGCATTTGCAATGGGCTCTGTCCAATTGACCCTAAAACTGATGAGCTGAATCACCTGTAAGCTTGGAAGATTTCTCCTCTACAACTTTTGAGTTATCCTCGTTGAGAATGTCGAAACTTATCATGCAAACTCTGCTACTGGTGCTTTGAGTCAAGAGGGGATTTCACCATCCCTGAAAAGTTCACCACACAACATGCCAATCTATTTGCAAAAGTCTCCCTCTCCTGGACAAGCTATGTAACATTCGTTCCTGGGGCTGCAGCAATTAAAATAACTTCCGTTCCTGTCATTTGGCACCAATCACTGCTCCGGCATCATGAGTGCCAAAGGAAGAGGTCCTTTTGAGGTCCCACCTGCTTTTAGAAAGTTCTTCTGTAGAAAGAAGCCAGCCAGAATGGTCACCCATTGTGGGGAACCAGCATTGCAAAACTCCTTAAATGATTTCTTCTAAAGATATTGTCAACATCCAGCTGGAGAATCCAAATAAAACTCCAGGTTCATCCCGTTTCCGAAAACCTTACTGTCTGTTGAATACACGGCATAGTAATGTGGAAGCAAAACAAAATCTGAGGTTCCCAGACACCAGGTCATAGAATTAAACAATAATTTCCCCAGCCAAAGCCCCAATCTCTTATGTAGTCCATGTAAACAATTTCACTTAGTTATGGGAACCGTCTGCTTCCTCACCGCACCTGCTACGGTGTCCTTGGAAGGGTTTCAAGCTCTCAAGTGTCTTCAGCTGAATCATAGGTTTCATTTCTCCATCTAACCCATTCTATAGCAACACCTCCCCACCCCCAATCTAATGGCAAGTTGAAACAAAGAGACACACAGCTGCGAGTTTCATACTATATGTTGAGCAGAGATGAACTTTTAGAAATCATCTTATCAGCCAAACCATATTCCGATTTTCCAGAAAACCCTTAGAGAGGGTTTCTTTTTTGATTTTCCAGTCTTGGAATCCTTGGTGTCTCCCATACAAATCCTAACCAAGATTGGTCCTGCTTAGTTTCCAAGATTAGTCAAGGATCTCTAGGTGATACCGCTTCAGGAGGTACAAGGTAGCTTCCACTTTCCAAACCAATGCTTCTTGTTGGATCAAAACCTGTGCTAGCATTTTGCCCATTTAAGTACTAGAGGACACCGGTTAAATAGAAGCATCTCTTCCAGCAATAGGCACCCGAGCCCAGCAGCAGAGTGCTCCAGATAACAGCTGTGACCTGAACAGAAGGTTTTTAGCTTGATTGCTAAACAGGAAATGGAATACTAGTGGAGCAAAAAGGAGCTGATCCAGTTCAGGAGGGAGTTGGATAGAATGTACTGCTGCCATTTTCAAATGCTTCCTGATAAATGAGAAAACGCCATAGGGCAGCGGTCTCCAACCTTTCCGGGCGTGTGTGTGAATGAAGGGATGGCTCTGTAGGAGTGGCAGGCGCGCACAGCTTCATTTGCACAAATGGAGTTTGGCGAGTGCGTGTGCCCGCCCGCTGCTTGTGCAAGTGGAGCTGCGTGCACTTGCCCGTCCCAGTTCTGAACAGGCCATGGCCCGGTAGAGTTGGGGACCCCTGCCATAGGGGACAGAAGATCAAAGAGGGGAGTCCCATGAGCGGCCCAAATTATGTAAGTCAATGCCATGCATGTAATCTTGATCTTGTGTTGGGCTTAAAATTGCCCACCTCACAATTTAGGGCCTCTGGACCTCCACCATCCAAAGCAGGATGTCTTCAAGAAGAATATGTGTTGAGGGAATCATCTTGACTGGAAAATCAGAGAGGGTACCGCGAGGGAATCTGTGTGATCCTATAGGCCAGGGGTGTCAAAGTCGCAACATCACGTGACGTGTCATGATGTATCATGACTTTTTCCCCATTGCCGGCAAGGGGGTAGGCGCGGTTTTGGTGTGACGCATCTGGCCCCCGGGCCGGCAGTTTGACACCCCTGCTATAGGCTATACTAGAAGCTCACCTGTAAGGATCAAAACAGGAACAGGATGAAGTCTGAATTGGTATACTTGGATAATCAACCAGCGAGGAAAAAAAAAACAAAGAAGCCGGGGAAATATTAGCATGATAAACCTTTATTAGCAAACTGTTCCCTACCATCAAAGACTTCCGGTTTTTTTCTCATGTCTGCTCTTCATAAGCCCAGGTTACAGCTACCAAGGCGGTTAATTTTGCATTGATTTGCGTGTTCTGAACACTATCTCCAGGCCACCAATGGTAAGGAAGGAAGGGCTGCCTAGACAAACACGACAACTCATCAGAAGAACAAGTGGGGGAGTGGGGTGAAACGCTGTGGTCAATCACCGATCCGGACAGAAACGCAAGACAAACGGATGGTCCCAACAAAAGCACAGAGGACACTCGGCAATGCCACAACCACCCATCAGAATCAGTCTTTCAGGACACAGAGCAGCTGAAAATGGATGGGGTGGAGGGCATTTGGGGCGCTGCTGCTCTGGGAGATCGTAGCTTCTCTTTGTGAAGGCTTGAGAATTTGGAACAGGCGCCTTCGGTGGGGTGCCCAACAGCCTTTCAGCAGCAGCAGCAGCAGCAGCAGTAGTTTCCCTCCGAGTGCAAACGGCGGCCTTCTGTGCATTAACAAAACTGGCACCTCGTGGTGAATTGTTTGCTTGTTTTTGGTCTCCCTGAGATTTTCCTCTAGAGTCCAATCAGCCCTTTTCATTAGCAAAGAAGACAACATATCAACGAAACCCAACGCGTGGTTAGGACATTAACCAGCCCCAGTCCCCAAGAAAGTTAAGGAGGAGGCAAATTCGAACTCTCGTGCAAGGGAAAACAAGATCCTCTCCGCCGTCACCATCCCTTCTCCTCCTTTGCTTAGATTCTTCCCTCCTGACTCAGTGGTTCAAACGTAAAGCAGGCAGCGCTCGCTCCGGAAGAGGGGGGAACTGAGCAGGGTCGGCCACCTTCGGCGAATGGTGAGGCTACCTCCTCTTCCTCTTCTTTTCTTCCTCTTCCAGGGGAATTCCAAGTTTCAACGTGCAAACTAAAAGGTTTCCGTTTTTAATGCGGAACATAAATACAGAGAACCTCTCACAAAAAAATACAGAAGGACACAAACAAAACTCTGTGGCAACGCATCTATAAAAAGAGATGGGCAGGCGTGCCTCACCTTCCAAATAAATACAAAATAAATATGTTTCTAAGCAATAAAAACAAGAGTGAAATGAGAGAGGCTGGCCTCCGAAAAGTCAGAGATTTCCTCCCCAAGAGGACTGAGCAGCCCTTGGGAAAGTCACAAAATACGGCTGCTACAATTTCCCCTTTTTCTTGGGAAAAGAACCTCGCGGGAAGAGGGGAATAAAAACCACCCTAGGCAGCTCACCCTTTCCATCCCCTGTGAAGACAGCCATTATCAGCTAAACCCCTTTTGCTCCCTGTAGCAAAAGCTACTTGTTACCCCCCCCCCCAATATATATATATATATATACAAATAAATAATAAGGCTGCAATCCGCTCGCCTACCCTAAACCAACGTGTGGGCGTCCCTCGATAAAAGATCTAGAGGAACTAAAGAAAAGACAGAATAGCCACCGGGTCCAAGAGTTTCCCAAAAAAGGGAAGAGCCAAGGGATGGGGTGGGGGGGGGGAAATAGGTTACCAATGGGAAGCAGGGATTTTGTGTTTATTCCCCCTTCCGATAATCAGCAGCGAAGACCCCACCTTGAAAGGGGTCTTCAAAAAGGCAGACCTTTTAATAAGTGCATTTCATCTCTGCAGGCTGGCAAAGATATTGACCTCTCTGCTCTGCCTGACCAGCTTTGGAGGAGGAGGAGAAGGAGGAGGAGGAGGAGGATAAAGTAACATTCCTTGTCCCCCAAAGCTGGGTTTTGGGTTTTTTTTTAAATAAAAAATTACATTGCAGTGTAAGGATTGTAATGTAAATCGCTTCTCGCCCAGCAGAATGTTATGTAAACAGCAAAGGTAATTTTTGTTTTTCAAGGTGGTTCTCTCTCTCTCTCTCTCTCTCTCTCTCTCTCTCTCTCTCTCTCTAGCTCTCAGCCATTTCTACCTAAGGCAGGTCTTATTTTTGTGAATCAAAGCCGCGGTAGGAGATGTGTAGACGGCCCAGCGAGAGAAGCCAAGATGGAGGACGGATCTACTGTTCCAAGTAGCGTCGTTAAGAGAAAAGGGGGGGGGGAAAACCTGGGACCTGGTTTGTCCCAGGTCTTCTCCTCCCTTAGAAGCCACCAAGCAGCTTGGGATGGTCTCCTGGCCAAAGAGTAGAGAGGAGAGGGGCATGTTCCTGGTTTGGTCCTTCGCCCTCTGGTGCTTCTGACAGAAACACAAAGATAAAAGCCGCCCCCCCCTCCCCCAGCCCTGTTCCCCTCCACCCCCCACCCACTCCCCAGGCCTCTCTGGGTCTGGGAGTTTCACAGCTTGGTTCACACAACTTTAGTGTCTTCAACCCATTCACAGAATGAAACGGCTGTTCACCCAGGAGCGGTCGCCCCAAGGTTTAGATCACGGAGTCTAGAGGGGCTGCTTTGGCGGTCACCGCGACTGCACTCCCAGCGTCATCTTCAAGTTCTCGTAGACCACGTAGCTGATGCTGACGGCGGGGATCACCTTCATGAAGTTGGGGGCCAGGCCCCTGTAGAGTCCAAAGGCGCCTTCGGTCTTCAGGATGTGCTTGAAGAGGCTCCTCATGGTCACCTGGGGGGCGCCTTCGATTGAAGCTGAAAAGAGAAGTCCCGAGAGAGGCGTTGAAGGGCTGGCTGAAGGTTCCTAGAAAAGAACCCCCTCGGCTGTTGTGGCCGTTTCTCCAGAGATCCTGGGGCGTCATCCTCTTACCTTGCGCCTGCATCCGTGTCCGCACCAAGGCCAGGGGGTAGCTGGCCAACTGCCCACAAGTGCTTGAGATGGTCCCGCAGGCCAACAGGACGAAGACCCCCGGGTCTGCGCTGTTCACGGCGTAATGCTGCAGCCAGCTGTTTTTTAACGTCTGGAAGGAAAGTGTCAACAATCCAGCGTCAACGGAGAAGCCAACCCTGATCAAGAGCCTTGAGCAAATCCATTTGGCATGGACCTGTTCAGCTTCAAAGAAGCTGAATCCGAGGTCCGCTAGACCTTCAGCTTCACGTTGGGGTTTTGAGGGCCACCAGCCACCATCTTCAGAAACTCCCTTTCTGGAAAGTTAGTTGGCAAAGGAAGAAAGCTAGAGTAAGACTGAAGAAAACAGAAGCTTTGACCTATTAGAGGGGGTTATATTATTAATTAGAGGTTAAGAATAGATTGCTAGAAACAGAAGTATTATAACTAGATAGATAGGATTAGTAAACAGAATATCATATCTTGGTATGAAAAGGGAAATAAGAACATGCTAAGAAGTTTGGTTACCCAAATATAACGTGTTCCGAAATGATAAATGATTGGGATATTTTGAACATGGATGGGAAAATTAAAATTGAAAAAAAAAACGAAAATAGGATATGGATTGAATAAATGGATATTGAGCGCAAATGCAATGAAGATATGATTTGGTTAGAAGAGATATATATCTAAAATGATATTATTGATGCTGTTAGAAAACTGTCACAAATGTTGATATTAAACTGTATATTTACGAACAGCAATAAGAATTGTATTTGCTTAGTGTGGAAAAATGTCTATTATCAGAAGAGAGGATGTATTGGAGGGTGTAATAGTGGATTTAGTTTGAAGAAGCTTATATGGACCACGGAATTACTAATGGACTCAGTCAACATGTTGTCTATTAAGCACTTGATTGTAAAAATAGAAAATTAGTAAAATATTTATAAAAAAACTTTCGATAGATAGATAGATAGATAGATAGATAGATAGATAGATAGATAGATAGATAGATAGAAGAGAGAGAGAGGAGACAGAATGAGAATGAGAGAGAGAATATGAGAGAGAGAATGAGAGAGAGGGAAGGAGGGGGGAGAGGGAGGGAGGGAGGGAGAGAGAGAGAGAGAGAGAGAGAGAGAGAGAGAGAGAGAGAGAGAGAGAGAGAGAGAGAGAGAGAGAGAGAGTGTCAGAGTCCAATCGCTTACCTCGTAAACAGCCAGGTCAATCCCAGCATACGGGATGATGCCCAGCATGTTGGGAATGTACCCCTTGTAGAAGGCAGCCAGTCCTTCTTTGGCGAGGATGTTCTTGGCACCGTCCAGCATCCCGGTGTACTGCCCGGTTTTACGCAGGGCCATCCGGGTTTTCAGAACCTATGCCAACCAGAGGAAGAAGAAGAGTGTCAGTGATCCAGGCAGGAGAAAGGAGAGGAACAGCACCTCTGGGTCCGATGCCCGGGAGATTTAACCGCCAAGGAAAAGCAATGGAGCAATAGAGGTACACTAATGTCTCCGATGAAGGTTGAGAATGTCAAGGGGGAAGGCTGAATGCCCTCAAACCATCTTCCCCAATCTGGCCCCCCCTCCAGTCTTCTAGTCCAGGGGTCCCCAACCGGCGGGCCACGGCCAATTATCGGGCCATGACCTGCTGGCCACTGGGCCGTGGGAAAATGGGGCACCACACTGCACGAAAACGGGGCATTGCGAGGTGCCACGCAGTGCAAAAACAGGGCAGGGCTAGCGAGTGTCACATGGGCCCTGGCGCCATCCCATTTGCGTCTCACACACATGCTCGCGGCCCCGTTTGCGCACGTGTATAAAATGCTTCCCCGTCCCTTTCCGTCCGGTCCGCCAGCCAACAAAAGTTGGAGACCTCTGTTCTAGTCCCTGTTATTCTTCCCAGCATGATCAGCAATGCCCTTGAAGGCTAGTCCATCTAAGATCAAGGCTCTCCAAGTTTGGCCACTCTTAAGACTCATGGACTTCAGCTCCCAGAGTTCCTCCTCCCGTTCTGGGCGTTGAAGTCCACAAATCTTCGAAGTTGCCACGTTTGGAGACCTCTGATCAAGATGGCAGCCAATGAGGGTCATTCTTGAGGTCTTCAACCTCCAGCCACATTGGGAACCGTGCCCAGAGGATCAAAGGACAGAAGACAACTCACCTCCATGGGATAAATGCTGCTCTGTGCAATGGCTCCAGCCAACGAGCCGGCCACCAGCCTCTCGTGAATCCTCAACACCTCTTGGTCTGTGCCGATGAAGCGTTTGATCTGCCAGGAAAGGGGTCCCATGCTTAGACTGGAGAAGTCTACCTCAACTGCTTCCTTCTCCCTCCCTCAACGGCCTCAGCCATGGGAACACACAAATCACCCCTGCCTCTTGGGGGGGGGGTCCTTGACGCCTTACCTGCTCATAAGCCATGAATTTGATAGCTGATTCCGGAGCGATCTTCAAGACGTTGATGCCGTTGCCGCGCCAAAGGGACCTGGGCCCACCTTCTCGGATCATGTGGGAAAAGCCTCCGATGATGCACATGTTGTTGCTGCGCGAAGCGTGGACCTGAAAGAGACAGACCACTTGGGGGTTGGATGGAGACCCGCCAATGAGTTTTCATCCGTCTCTCGCCAACACCCCTTCAATTTGTCTTAGCCAGCCGAAGGAGCTGATCTCCATGCAGATCAACCTGTAAAAAAAAAATGTAGTAGCTTTGGGGAAAACAAGACGTCCAAAGAAAACACGGACTTTGGCGCACCAGCTGGATCCACAGCAAATTCCATAAAAAGTGTGGATGGACAGCTCTGACCATGTCTGTGCAAAGTCCAGATTCCTCGGTTGACACACAGCAGCTCTGCTGTCCTTTGATCACCAACAGGGAGGGAAAAAAGTCACAAGTTGTCTCCCGTCCCACTAAAGCTGTCCTGCCAAGGCTGGACCGATAAAGACCGAGAGGTCATCAACCTGGCCTGCGTCCAGTTTGCCAAGTCTCCAGGGAACCCGTAGTTCTCTGGGAAGCAAAGCATGACAAGAATGATGTAAGGGCAACTTATATGCCGAAGGCAAATGTCCAAGAACCTGTTTCATATTGGCTTCCTCAACCTCTGAAGCTGTGTGGTGTTTGCCAGCTTTTTGGCCATTCACAGAGTGGCTTTAGGACCTTGAGTGTCTCCTCCATTCAAGAGGAAGAGTCCCTTGTTTTTCCTTCGAAGACGTTTCGCTTCTGATCCGAGGAGCTTCTTCAGCTCTGAATGGATGGTGGGGAAATGAAAGGATTGATACTCCTTGCAGACAGCTGGTCATTTGCCTTCTTTTCGAGAGTCCTGGAGGCCTTCCTAGATTGGGGGACGATTGCTGGCGATTGGATGGAGATGTCCATGTTGTTGTTTTTAAAGCAAGAATATGGAACCCATATTGAGGGCAATAGAAGAAGGGGATGAAAGAGAAGGAGGTGGCTGGATGGAGTCACTGAAGCAGCAGGCGTGAGCTTCAATGGACTCCAGAAGACAATAGAGGACAGGAAGGCCTGGAGGAACGTGGTCCATGGGGTCGCAATGGATCGGACACGACTTCGCAACTAACAACAACCACAATGGAACCCGGCTTGACATTGTTTGCAACTTCTTGATGGTCTTCCAGCTAAGTGCTCATCACAAGTTGTCCAACTGGCCACAACTTATTCCTCTACACAGACGCGATCCTTGGCTCCATTTGTTCAGAAAGGTATAGTTTTATTTCAGATCAAGTGTGTTGCAGTTTTGCATAACCAGGCCTGTGAATTTCACGCCCAAATCCCTAAGTTCAACTTCTCTCCCCCCCCCCAAATGTCCCTTGTCCACCACACTGTATCCAATCAAGTCCATAAAGGTGCTTTTTCAAAAGGCAACTGGACTTTCTTGTTTTTCTCTGAAGATGTTTCGCTTCTCATCCCAGAAGCTTCTTCAGCTCTGACTGGATGGTGGGGAATGGAAGGATTTATATTCAGGAGTTCCAAGAAACGTCCATGCCCATTTGCACCACTCAGGTGACACTGAGGACACAGACAAGCCTCCAAGTGGTCTCAACGACTCTCTAAAAGCATGCAGATGACCAGCTGTCTTCTTCAGAGCTGGAAGGATTTATACTCCTTGCAGAGAGCTGGTCCTTTGCCTCCTTTTAGAGGCCACTTGGAGGTTTGTCTGTGTCCTCAGGGTCCCCCGAGTGGTGCAAACGGGCGTGGAACTTTCTTGGAACTGCAGGGAATATAGATCCTTCCATTCCCCACCATCCAGCCAGAGCTGAGGAAGCTTCTGGGATGAGGAGCGAAATGTCTTCAAAGAAAAACAAGGAAGTCCACTTACCTCCTGAAAAAAAGCACCTTTGGGGCAACCATGGACTGGAGGACGGAGAACCTCCGTAGACATCAAGAGGAAGACTTGTGTGAAAAAAATAGACAGTAGAAAAAAGTAGATGCTCAACCTCCCTGGTGGCCTTATCCTACCTGCATGAGCACCTTCAGACGATCCAGGGGGGCAGTACAGGTCCTGGATACAGCGCCGGCGCCTCCTCCTGCCACCAGGTGGCGCCACCACATCCCCGTCTGCCTCTCCTCCACCGTGAATTCATCTGGGACGGTGAGATTCTCCCCCACGTCGAAAATCTGAAAGGCAAGCCAGCAAGACCCATCAGCCTCCGCCACCCTCAGGGACTCTCAAGATGCTAATGAGCATCACGGCCATCTGTTTGGTCACCAAACGAGCACCAGCGTCCTGCCTAAAAAGTTGTAGCTGTGCAGGCACAAAATACACGTAGTCCTCAAGCTTATAACGATTCAACCTAGAATCTTTCTGACGGTCAGAACAATTAACCAGTGGAACAACCTGCCTCCAGAAACGGTGAATGCTCCAACATGGGAAGTTTTTAAGAAGAGACTGGACTGGTGTAGGGTTTCCTGCTTGAGCAGGGGGATAGACTAAAAGACCTCCAAGGTCCCTTCCAATATCATCATCATCATCATCATTATTATTGTTTAGTGACCATTCAAAGTAACAACCACACTGGGGGAAAAAATGACTTATAAACGTTTTTCACACTTACAACCATTGCAGTCTGCGACTCAACTCACATTTACGACAGTCACAACATCCCGGGGGAGTCACATGACTCACTTAACGACCGTTTACCATGGCAATGATTCACTTAACAACTGTGGCATGGCAGGTCGTAAAATGGGGCAAAACTCACTGAACAAACGTCTCACTTAGCAACAAACAAATTTGGGCTCCGTTGTGGTCGTAAGCTGAGGACCCGTGCTGTGAGTTCCTCTGAACGTGGCCAAATCCTGCTACGCTGTACGTAAATTTCGGCAAACTTTGACCGCTGAACTCTCAACCCTCCACGAATCGCAATATATTATTCTGCCTGCCTTTTATTTTTATCTTACTAGGAGTATTATTATTTCTAATGCTTTTATTTGCTGGTCTGTGACCGTAACAAAAATGGATTCTGGTTCTGTATGCAGGTGAGAGCTTTCTGTCTTACCGTTGAATGTTTCCAATACAGGATAATTTCTGGAATATTCTCCACCGGGTGTAAGAGGTGATAATCCCTCCACTCGTTCCAGTCGATCGTCATCGTCCCGTTTTTGTCCATGCTGCAAGGATCCGCCGGAAGAGGAAATTAAACATATTACTTAAAAAAATAAATAAAATTGAACAGCTTGTCCGATTAGACATTCTAATGGGAGGTTCTGGCAGCGAGGAAGAAGAACTGATCTGGTGACGTCCAGATAGTTATTCTAGACGCATTTTTTTTTTCCCTGAAGGAGGATTTATTGCACAAAATTGTGGTTTTTTTTCTCGGGTTCAAAATTCTTTCTCCCGGAAAATCGAGAGCTCTCACGAGACAGATTTGAGGCTGTTTAGGAAAGCAGTTGCTGAATTGCTTCGCTCCTCCGCTGCCAGATCGACGAGAGGCATGCAACCCGCTTCCAATTTCACCGAGGACGGTATTAGGAGATATACAAGGGCAAGGGGCCAGGCAGAAGTAGACTCCGTTGTACTTACTAAGTGACAGGACCCCAGACGTGCCCTGTCCTTATTCTGACAGACAGGCAGGCAAGCAAAGGGGAGAATGCAAAGAAAGACGAGTAAGTGATTGTTAAAAAAAAAAAAAAAACAGGGCTGCCTGCTCACAAAAAGTCAAACAGACACATGTATCTATGTATTTTAGAACTGAAGTGGGTTTCAGCTATCAGAGGCAGCTCTACTAATCACTTCTCCGTGCTGTTTGCCCAGGTGTGCTGCTCAGTCATCCTGTAGCTAAACATCACCCAGATAAACACCCTCTCGGCCTGTTCCATGAGCTGGAAAGTTACCAGAAAAAAAAAACAGAGGCTGCTATAAAGAGAGATAATTGGAGCACCACGGGCTTCAAATTCTCCAGTACGAAGGGCATTTTTGATGATTTTAATGTGCATTATGCTGTAAACTGCCCAGAATCGCTTGGGTGGCAAATATGTTTATTTAACAAGGAGTCCTTGGTGTTTCCTGAGCTTGTTTTTTTTTTCTTTTATTTTTGCAGACGTTTCATTACCCAAATTAGGTAACACTGTCAGTGCTGTTGATGTTATCTAATTTGAGGTGATGGAATGTCTACAAGGAAAAAAAAAAAAGCCCAAGGTCAAACAGCACCAAGGATCTCTCATTTCGACCTGGAGCTAAAAATATTCTCCTTTAAACTAGACAGAGAGACAGAGGAATGAGAAGGGAGGAGGGGGGATAGACAGCTATAGAGAATAGATAGATAGATAGATAGATAGATAGATAGATAGATAGATAGATAGATAGATAGATAGATAGATAGATAGATAATAGATATAGATAGAGAGAATAGATGATAAATAGACAGCTATAGAGAATATATAGTTATAGAGAAGAGAGAGAGAGAGAGAGAGAGAGAGAGTGAGTGATTGGATAGATAGCTATAGAGAATAGATAGACAGACAGATACAGGATAGATAGATAGATAGATAGATAGATAGATAGATAGATAGATAGATAGATAGATAGATAGATAGATAGACAGATAGACAGATATAGAGAATAGATGATAGATATATATAGAGAGAATAGATATAGCTATAGAGAATAGATATAGATAGACAGCTATAGAGAATATATAGTTATAGAGTATAGTTATAGAGAATAGAAAGAGAGAGATAGGATAGATAGCTATAGAGAATAGATAGATAGATAGATAGATAGATAGATAGATAGATAGAGAATAGGTGATAGATATACATAGAGAATAGATATAACTATAGAGAATAGATATAAATAGACAGCTACAGAGAATATATAGTTATAGAGTATAGTTATAGAGAATAGAGATAGAGATAGATAGATAGATAGATAGATAGATAGATAGATAGATAGATAGATAGATAGACAGACAGAAAGAGTGTGTGTGAGAGAGAGAGAGATAGGATAGATAGCTATAGAGAACAGATAGATAGATAGATAGAGAATAGATGATAGATATATATAGATATAGCTATAGAGAATAGATATGGATAGCTATAGAGAATATATAGTTATAGAGTATAGTTATATAGAGATAGAGATAGAGACAAAGAGAGAGAGAGATGAGAGACAAAAATGTGGGCAGCCTATTCCTTGACTTGCTATTACAATGGAAGGATTGTTGGAAGGATCAATGATAAAGCAAAGTGTCTCTGCAAGGGGCTTCTTGGAGATGGGAGCCAACTGTTTATTCATTTACCTCTTGAGGATTTTCTCTGCCTGCTGTTCGGAGATCTTGACGCCCAGATCTCGGAGGGACTGCATGATCTCCTGAGCGTCGATGCGACCTGCAAAATCCAGACAGAGAGAGAGAGAGAGAGAGAGAGAGAGAGAGAGAGAGAGAGAGAGAGAGAGAGAAGTAAACCTCAAAGCTGGCGATGGAAAAGGGGCCAGCCGAAAGCCAACCAGTCGGATTGCTCACCATCATTCTTCTTGTCCAAGCTCTTGAAGACCAGCCTTAGCTTCTTCTCGTGGTCCTGCAGGTAGTGAACGAATTCTTCAAAGTCCAGCTGGCCATCCAGATCCTTATCTCCAGCTTTTACGATTTTCTGCAAGGGGGGAGGAGAAAAAAATACAAAAATAATCTTGATTGGCTTCATAACTGCTATTGTTCAGCGTCAGGGAAGCATAGAGTCCACCCTGGTTCCTATTTAAAGAAAAAGCAACAAAACGTTCAAAGAAAGGAACACAACTCTGTGCCAAAAAAAACCCAAAACAAACATTATTATTTTCTTCCAAGGAATGGGAAAAAGGAGGCGAAGGATCACATGCTCAAATTGGCTTCCCAAAGTTCTCCCAATGTCTTAAAATACGGATTTTGGGAGAGTAGAAGCTGATTCCTTAATCCTGGAGAAGAATGGTTTTCACCATCCTAAAAGAATCAGGAACCTTCTCCCAAACCAACTCGCTTAAGAGGTTTTTAATTGGAAAAACTCAAAGCATCTTTCATAACGTAGCCAGGATGTGTAATGGATTCCAGACTGGCTTTGGGAAAAGCTGCATCAATGGTCCACAACTCATTATAAACACACTTCTGCCATTTGTTTTTTAATTTTAAAAAGGATTTGGGGCCTTAAGAATAAAGGAATAAAGCCATTTCTCCCCAACTACAGGAAATTCTAGTGTCAACGCTGCTAACATCGGATGTTTTTGCTTTGACAACAGTTGGAGATGCAACCATTTTACTCTTAGAGTTAGAGTTAGAATTAGATGATGCTGGGAAGGGAGAGGAATGTGCATGAGAGTTCAGCCAGACATAACAACACTGGACCTAGCCTGCGAACCAAGGTTATTGAAATAAGAGATGATAAGAATTGGCGAGCTGGAGAACTGGAAGGAAAGCTTGCATTTCAAACTAATTGGAGAATGTGATGTACGACTGTTAATTGGAAGAGGGAATTGTGCTTTGATACTATGTGCTCAGGGGAGGGGAATTCAGATTTTTGCTTCGATTGGGTTAGTGCCGCTACTATGCTTCTCTAATAAAGATTCTTTACGGTAAACAATGCCTCAAAGTTCTTTGAAGAGTTTCACTTGTCGGAACTGTGAAATCTAGACTTACAGCAGTTCGTGAGTATTCAAAGTTGCTGAAAAAAGTGATTTAATGGCCAATTTTCACACTTACGGCTGTTGCAGCTTCCCCGTGGTCACGTGATCAACATTCAGATGTTTGACCACTGATTCCTATTTGTGACAGTCGCAGTGTCCCGGGATCGTGTGATCCCCTTTTGCAATCTTCCGACAAGCAATGTCAACGGGGAAGCCAAATTCCACTCAACAACCGTGTTCATACCTTAACACTTGCAGCGATTTGCTTAACAAACGTGGCGAGTAAAGTCGTAAAACGGGGGGCAAAACTCACTGAACAAATGTCTCGCTTAGCAACATGGATTCTGGGCTCAATTCCGGCCGCACAAAAACCACATTCGGCCACATTTGCACACTCAAGACACCCAAAGTGATTTGAACTGAGGTTCTGAAAAGCAGCTCAGTCAACCCAAGTCTCTTACGCTGGCTTTTTAGCCCTCCCCAGAGAAATATATATATATATATATATTTCTTTTAACAGGAAAACTAGCTATTTCTGGGGAAATCTAACTACCGCTAGAAAAGCTGCTGGGTGAGCTAAGAAGTAACATTAAAATGCGATCGAGAAAGGCTCTAAAACAAGCTTCAACTGGTTTGGACGCCCTGCAGTTACATTCTTGTGTAAGAACCTGGGGGAAACTAGATTTCAGGAGCAAAGTGTATCTTTACAAAAGAGATTAAGAGATGGCAAGGTCAGCTTGTTCGTAAATACACTTCACCCTGAACATTCCTGCGAACCGGAACAAACCCTTCCAGACTTCACCAAGATGGGCAGGAGGGCGAGGGGACAATAACAGAGTTAGAAGGGACCTTGAAGGTCATCTAGTCCAACCCTTGCTCAGGCAGGAAACCCTGTACCATTTCAGACAAATGACTGTCCAGTCTCTTCATAAAAACTTCCAGGGTTGGAGCATTTACTGCTTCTGGAGGCAGGTTGTTCCACTGGTTAATTGTTCTAACTGTCAGGAAGTTTCTCCTTAGTTCTAGGTTGCTTCTCTCCTTGATGAGTTTCCATCTGTTGCTTCTTGTCCTGCCTTCAGAAGCTTTGGAGAACAGCTTGACTCCCTCTTCTTTGGGGCAGCCCCTGAGATATTGGAACCCTGCTATCGTGTCCCCCCTGGTCTTTCTCTTCATTAAACTGGACATACCCAATTCCAGCAACCATTCCTTATATGTTTTAGCCTCCAATCTCCTGATCATCTTTGTTGCTCTTCTCTGTACTCTTTCTAGAGTCTCAACAACTTTTCTACATCGTGGTGACCAAAACTGGATGCAGGATTCCAAGTGTGGCCTCACCAAGGCCTTGTAAAGCGTTATTAACACTTCCATGTGATCTTGATTCAATGCAGCCCATCTTGGCTTGGTCCACACAGTTGTGGCATCTACTTTGCATAGCCGTTGGGAAACTGGGTTCAGAGACAGACTTGGTTTTGAATACCATCCAGGAAGGAAAGACTTTCTTCCTGCGCTGAAAGTTCACAACTTAAGAATCATCCAACATACTCAATCTATTCTCCGACCATTGTTGACTAAATAAATAGGCTGGTATGCAAAGCCGAAAAACAAACAAATGAGGTGATTGTTGGTGTACATTTTTGTTGCGATGGAATAACACAGCTCCACCCCCTGGAAGAAACACCCCTACAGTGTCTCATCTGGGCCGGTTACTCATCCCCATATGTCAGCCTGAGTTGAGTCACCAATCTCTCTAAGAAGCACCCAGGATATCATAATATATCACCGAAGCAGCTGCCTGCAAAATGAAGGATGCAAAAATGATGTGTTGGGGATGTTTGCATGTCATGTAAAATTCAGGATTTTTTTGGGGGGGGGGGTTGTCTGAATTTGGAAGAGAACGAAGCTGGACGAGTTTGCCAAAAAGTGGAAGCCAAGAAGAAAACAAAGCTTCTTAAGGGGATGGGGAAGGAAGGAAGGAAGGAAGGAAGGAAGGAAGGAAGGAAGGAAGGAAGGAAGGAAGGAAGGAAGGAAGGAAGGAAGGAAGGAAGGAAGGAAGGGAAACTGACAAATAACTCTGCAATATTTTTTTTCAAAGAGAGAATTACTACACTATTTTTACTACACTATTTTATTGAGCGTGTTCCTTCACACTTAACTGCTAAAGTGGGACTGTTATATAATTTAATCCCCTTTTTCTGGTCAGTAAGGACATCCAGCCACCTTCTGCAATGACCTTTGGTTCGTCTAAGCTGCCAAATCTGCAATCATATGATGGTTGTAAAAAGGAGTGTGTGTGTGTGTGTGTGTGTGTGTGTGTGTGTGTGTGAGAGAGAGAGAGAGAGAGAGAGAGAGAGAGAGAGAGAGAGAGAGAGAGAGAGATCACCCTTTGCAGGCTAAAGATAGAAAGAGGCATGTCAGCTGATCAGAGCAAGCTGACTTATTCAGAATTTGCTCCTGGCAAAGGGCCCCTTTGGAGAGAAAGAAAGCAAGTTAAGAAATGCTGGACAGGGCTTCATAAATCAATCCCGGAGCCGCCCTAAAATACAGGATTCACCTCCCAAAAAACGACTGCCATGGGTAGCCACGAAAGAGGGAAGGAACGTGGGCACAGCTGCTCAATTGGTATGAAGGCGAGGGTGTTTCTCAAATTGCAACAAGCAATTCCCGTCACACTCGGTGCCAAAATATTTCAGGTCTCACATTAATCTTCTTGCAGCAAAGAAGGGGGGGGGGGAGAGAGAAAAATCCTTCCCTGTCTCAACAGGGGAGCATATCCGAAACTCCTACTGGGAAAACCTAAGACAGTTTCCTAAAATCCATGGAAGTCTTTCCTTATAAGGAAGACCCCGCAGATGCCTTTGGTGGCTAAGCTTGAGCCTAAACAGTCGAGGTTTTTAAGAAGAGACCGGAGAACCATTTGTCTGAAAGGGTAGAGGGTTTCCTGCAGGTTGGGCTAGAAGACCTCCAAGGTCCCTTCCAGCTTCTATTTTATTCTATTCCTTTTATTCTATTCTATTCTATTCTATATTCTATTCTATTCCATTTATTCTATTCTATTCCATATTCTATTCTATTCCTATTCCATGTTCTACTCTACTCTATTCTTATTCCATGTTCTGTTCTGTTCTATTCCATATTCTATTCTATTCTTATTCCTATTCCATGTTCTACTCTATTCTATTCTTATTCCATGTTCTATTTCATGTTCTGTTCCATGTTTTATTCTATTCTATTCCTATTCCATGTTGTACTCTACTCTATTCTTATTCCATGTTCTATTCCATGTTCTGTTCCATTCTATTCTATATTCTATTCTATATTCTATTCTATTCTTTTCTTATTCCTATTCCATGTTCTATTCTATATTCTATTCTTATTCCATGTTCTATTCCATATTCTATTCTATTCTATTCCATATTCTATTCCATATTCTATTCTATTCTATTCTGTTCTATTCTATTCTATTTTCTATTCTATTCTATTCTATTCTATTCTATTCCATTCCTATATTCTATTCTATTCTATTCTATTCTATTCTATTCTATTCTATTCCACATTCCTATTCTATTCTATTCTATTCTATTCTATTCTATTCTATTCTATTTTTCTATTCTATTCTATTCTATTCTATTCTATTCTATTCTATTCTATTCTATTCTATTCATTCTATTCTATTCTATTTTATTCTATTCTATTCTATTCTATTCTATTCTATTCTATTCTATTCTATTCTATTCTATTAGTTTGGAATAGCCTACTAACCAAATAGCTTTAGCCTGTGGGTGTCACATCAAAAGAGTCAGGGGATAAACCATGGGGAAAGAGGATCTTAGGCCTGATCGGGCAACACGCCAGTCTAAAAGAGCAGCCTGTGGGATAGGTCCATGGCCAATTCTGAAATTACCACACGGTCACATGCTCCTGCTCGACCCACAGCTGTCCCTCCAGGTCAATTAATGATTAATCAATGCCGTAATAAAAAAAGGAGAACACCTGTTATCTG